GTTGCCGCAAAATTTTTATTTCCATTTTTCCTGAGTTTCTCTCGATTTCCATACCCTTTCTCCCTAAATTTCCCCGAGTTTTAAGCCGCGTTCCTGGTGTAGGACATGGTTGAACGAACAACCCCGCATCTGAGCATTTACGGGTGCTTGCCGGGGCTTGTAACCTCTTGTAACCCTACTGTAAATAAAGAACGCGAGCGAAGCGAGCGCGAAAATTTTCGGGTCAAATCACCCTCCTGGGACGTCAAAGTATGTTTTTGACCAACATAGAGCGCATAGAAAGCGATATGGGGACGATCGGAACAAAATTTCCTGTCTTTTTTTTAATTTACGCGAGGCGGAAGGGGCCTCGCTAGGCCGAGGGCCTACCGGGGGATCCCCCGGCGCCCGGGTGGGCCAGTCCGAGCCGGTGGCAAGTAGGCTTGCACATCGTTGCAAGAGACTCTATTTTATTGTTTGTGGAATAGGTAAGAAAATGGTCGTCGCCTGGTGTACATTGTCGCGTGCACAGTGGTTATTGTTGGCTGGGGGGCAGTTAGGACGATCATATAACGCTCCGCTCCCCTACGCGCACGCCAAGCACTAATATTGCAGGATTTGTCCGGTATAGCCGACCTCTAACGGGATCGTCTAAAAAGTCTCTCTGAAGAGCAGGTAAATAAATCCAGGCCTACAACTAAAGTGTTTCTAGAATCGAGTATGCCAGTTCTTATTGTCCTACGCTTACCGTATAGGCGCCACTTCGCACGGCGATGCTAGCATCGGACAGCCGTTGGCTTAGAACTGCTATTGGCATGAAAACTGCCAGGTTAATAAAAGCACCAGTGAATGTGAGGAAAGCAAGGTCGTTCCGTAGCACCTTAAACAGACACAGGTATATTAAATGAAAACGGCGGCGACAGCCATGACATTAACAACCATACTATTTTAGAAATACTGCTCGCTGAAAGTATTGTTAGTGATTTACCTGGAGGGTGCTTATGAGAGGCACGGAAAAACAGCAAAGCAGGTAATGCATCATGCTATCAGCGAAGAGCGCCTCAACTTGCCTGCTGACTACACATAGCTCCTGATGTAGCCTTACTACGCGGATTACATGCGTCTTCTTTGTGCTTTCCTTTCAAAGTAAAACACAATTATGTTATTCACAATGAACCGTTTTCCAGTATTTTATTCATTTCGGCACGGCAAGGGAGAGGGAGCGCAAGTGGCTTCTGCGCTCACCTGAAGACTTTGATACCTTCTCAGCAGTGATAAAAATGTCAGGGGCGAACAGGCCAGTTCGAATTTGAACGAACTCGAACAAATTTGGTCCAAAAATCTTCGAACGAACACGAACACGAACAAGCATTTTTTTCTTCGAACGAACCGAACCGAACAATGTAATGTTCAAATTCGATCCGAACACGAGTAATTATTACCAATTTTTCTTGCTTACTCGTTATGAAAGCTATCCATTCTGGTTTCCAATAGTTTCATTAACGTGTGAACTTGTAGTTATTTATTAAACTGCTACTGCCCCCTCAATTATACCCATTTTTCAGGTGAATTTCTGAAACATATTTCAATTTTGTTCGCCTACGAACTTCTGTTCGAGTAGTGTCCGAACATTTCGAATCCGAACACCTTATGTTCGTGTTCGAGCGATCACGAACAGCTCGATGTTCGTTCGAGTTCGATCGAATGCGAACATGTTCGCCCATCTCTATAGTCAAACCGAGTATTTTCTTTTTAGTTTTAGAGTTGCGGAGTTCAGCCTGCGAAGTTTCGCGAGTGTACG